ATATATATATATATATATATATATATATATAATATGTATATATGTATGCATATAGATAGATAGATATGCATATATTGAAGTAGTGAAAAAATCCACCTGAAATGGGAATGGCTCCCTGCCATGAGCTGTGGTCTGGGCGAGTTGAAAAGACACTGTGACTTTCCCACCATGATGAACCATGAGCCCAAACAAGTCCTTTCCTCCTTAAGTGGTGCTTGTTGGCTATTTCGTAGCAGCGACAACTGAAGTAGCTAATATCCCGCAGAGCTACGTCCCCAGCTACTTGGATTCGGTTGGGGGCTTTTGAAAACAAGGTCTCACTCTGTAGTCCAGGCTGATCTCTAGCTCTAGTCCTCCTGTTTGAGCCTCCTCTTGCTGGAATCACTGCTGTGCCCTATCACTCTAGTGTTATTCTTAACAGAAGCCATACAGTGTATGGCATTCAACAATACAAACCAACCAAATAAACAAAACCCAGCATAATAGCCAGGCATGGTGACCTATAATTCCACCTACTTAGGAGGGCTTAAGTAGGAAGATCTGAAGTTCAAAGCAAGCCTGATCTACATATAGTGTGATCAAGGATGGTGTCCTTCAGGACACAGACTCACAGCATTTAAGACGGGCGGGCGCGTGGGCACACTGACTAGCAGAGAGCCAAAGCCATTCACTCACGTTTCTCCACCCGGAATTATGCTTGGCGTGGACACAGCAGTTCCACAATACAAGAAGAGCTGCACTGAGGTGCTATATTTGTTTATAAGGGAGAGGAAGAGGGGAGGGAGGGGAAATGAGTCAATTGTGGGGAGCAGGAACTTCCTGAGGGGATAAAGTGGGCGGTTCCACAGACGAGATCACCGGAAGCCATTATTTCTATTGAGCTAACTCTGACTAGTTCAGCTAACCTATTGGTTGTTGCCGATAAGGGGTGGAGGTGGGGAGAAGCCAGCTCAAGACTCACCCTTATGCCTTCTGTTTCACAGAAATAAGCAAAGCCTGATTTTCTAGGCAACCTCAGCTTCTGTGCCCCACAGCCCAGACAGTCAACGGCTTGTATCTCTTTTAGGATTTTATCTGGGAATATACATTTTTATTGCCGAGTGTGTGTGTGTGTGTGTGTGTGTTGTCAGTGATGGAACCAGGCCTTGTACATGAGAGTCGACTGATCTACCACTGAACTACAACCCCCGCCCTGTTAGTCTATCTTGACTCCTGTCTTCTCCCCTGACTTAGTGGGTTTTCAATGATGCAGAACAAAGGTTGAACGCTCTAGCCTTCCCAATCCTTCTCCCCTGTGTCTGTAGGTCATGGCTGAGGCTAAGCACACTTTTGCCTCTATCCTTCTATTCACTGAATATTTTGTGGAATACACCATTGCAGGTGCTTGGAGAGACGTTAGTAATTGTTAAGTGTATAACGACTAGTTAAAACATGACAATGAGTTAGGTAGCATGCTGGTGATATTTCTTTCTTGTACTATATTATGTTTTTCCTGGTCCCCATCAGTTATCTTACTTGCTCAGGTCTCTCTGTGCCCACATCCTTCTCCCCTTCGGTAGGACTGTGTGACTTCTCTTCACTGTTTCCCTGCACAAGAGATCTACTCGGTTTTTCCTTTCCCCTTTTCTTATTCCTTTAACAATCCTTGAAGATCACCAGACATCATGGAATGGAGACAGGCAGATCTCTGTCAGTTCAAGGCCAGCCTGGTCTACATAGCCTGTTCTAGGCCAGCAAATCTGAGTGTAGTGACATACATTTTTAATCCCAGCCCTTAGGAGGCAGAGGTAGTTGGATCTTATGAAGCCAACCCTAGTTAACACAGCAAGTTCTAGGCCATCCAAAGCTACACGGTGAGACCCAGTCTCAAGATAACAATAAAATCCCAACTACCAACCCCCCAAAAACCAAGCAACCCCTTAACCCCCCAAAAAAACTCCAAGCAAACAAGCAAACATCCATGAAGGTTTTAGACACTTCCTTTTCCATGGGTGTGTTTTCATTCTCTGACCTGGACACTCAGGGATTTTTTTTTTCCAATTTACATGCTGATTTCTTTTCCTTCACCATTTGAAAATGTCTGTCTGTCATTTGTTTTTAGAGACAGTGTTTTTCTGTGTAGTCCAGCTGTCTAGAACTCACTCTATAGGCCAGCATGGTCTGGAACTAAGAGATTCACCTGCCTCTGCCTCCATAGTGCTGGGATTAAAGGCGTGCACCACCACTGTCATCAGATTTAAAAAATATAGCTTTGTTCCTCTATTATCAATAGCATCCCTGGACATAAAATAGTAGAGTCTGCACTGATCTGTGTTCTAGCTGGGTTTTATTGTTTTCTTCTGTTTTCTAATTTATTTATTTATTTGCATTTATGCAAACATCCTAGACTTAACCTTGGGAATCTTTCTCATTGCTAGTTTTTCTTTTCATATCATCTTGTTCTTGTTCCATAATGTTGTGTCATATTTTAATGGATGATATCTAACTATATTTCCAATTTCTTCTGTTATAATGGACCACTCTGTCTTTCTTTTCTTTTCTATTTTGCAACTATTTGTAATTTATATCTTTAGATTTATTTCCAAAGAATCCTATGAAGAAAACTTTTATTTTCAAGTCTCTCACAGAGCTGAGCTTGCACGACCCTCTCACAGAGCTGAGCTTGCACGACCCTCTCACAGAGCTGAGCTTGCACGACCCTCTCACAGAGCTGAGCTTGCACGACCCTCTCACAGAGCTGTGCTTGCACGACCCATACTCATTTGCATCAATTTCTACTCATTAGTTTCATTCTCTTCTCTTCTACTTTTCTCCCAATTTAGTGGATAAATATTTAGCTCCTTGGATCCTTATCGTTTTCGTGAAGTGGGGATTTGAGTTTAGGGGTACTGCATCAGTGTATTATATAAAAAAAAAATCACTAAGCTAAAAAATAGTCATTAAGACTAACTAGCTCAATACAAAGCGTTCTCCAGTCACTTCCTGCTTTAAATCTATTTATAGACGCGTATGCTGAAATATGGACGGAAATGAAGTTAGTGAGGAGTTGGCAGCCGTGGGTAGAGATGAAGATGTCAGACTTGTCAAAATAAAAGGATGCAAGACACAGCTTGGGCACTGATCTCTGTGAGGTCCTAGTGTACAAAGATGGCTGTGTGACATAGGATCAACTGAGCAACGCACATTTAAAACCAAGTGGATGGAGGCTACATTCCAGTCTCACAGGCAGTTAGCATTAGAGCTGTTCGCTGACCACCCAACAATAACGCTGGGAACTATTTTATTAGAAAATGTCCAGGTACTTCCCTCAAAGTGTTTTCAAACTCCAAGAAAAGGCCCCTGAAATGCTCTCAGTTTCTGAAGCCTCACTGATGTGGAAACTTCAGGTTCTTTGGAAAGTTAGTTATATCAAATGATGTTTCCTGGGGCACACAGGTGAAAGGATGTCTCGCTAAGGCAGACACAGGTGAAAGGATCTTTTGATATATCAAACACGTGAAAGGACCTGTGATGAAGGGATATAACTATGACCCCACAGACGGTGGGAGACGAGTACTGAGCATTGGTTTGGTTTGATCTGTCTTGCTATTCTTCACCAACAACATGTATGGAATGGTTCGCCTTACATAGCATTGTTGAGCTCAACTTGTGATAACACTGCCATTGAGAGAAACTTGCCCAAGAACTGCTCCTGAGGTTCCTGCAGCAGCTTGCCACTTCTGCAGCCTCCCCTCAGGCCGGTTGGCAAGCCTGGAGGTTTCTTCAGGATTGAACTACAGCTGCCTAGTGTCTGCTTGCTGAAAGGACTGGGCTGTAGCTGCTAGTTCATTCCTGGTGTCTGCCTGTCTAGAGGCCTGGTCTGCAGCTAATAAGTCATATTGGATGTTTGCTACAGGACTGAACTGCTGCTAAGAAGATCAAGCTCACCCCCAAAACTATTGCTGAACAGGTCCACTTGCCCCACATCCTGATAACTTTTCTCCTCTACTACCTCTGCTGGGTGGTGGGCTAGAGGAGAGGTTGAATTTTTATTAAAAGTAGGTTGCAAAAATCTTACACCTACACCTTGCCTTGTATTTTTATTATTCACAGTCTTCCTGGGATCTTAATTGAGGTTTCTTTTGGGTGTGGGGTAAGTATATAGGTTTTTTTAAACAAAAATTTCTAATCACTCTCTTCATGTCTATCTTTTTCTCATAAAATTGAAGAAAATAGAGATTTCAGATCACAATCCAATTTTCCCCAACATCTGATTAGAAAAATATCCAAACCTGTCAAAAGTCTGAAAGAAATGTAGATGCCCGTATACTGACCACCTGACTCCTATCATCAGAATTTCACTTTTATCAATCAGAATCGACATTTTCCTAAGCTTATGAGTGACATGGAATAGAGTTAATGTGCCACTGAAATCACACGGGATTCTCTGTGCTTCATGAGAATGCTATACTATGGCCAATTCCATGGATGCTTTAAACAAGTCAGCACAAGCCGGCCATTAGCTGGGTGGAGGAACTTCCAGAGAGTCCTTCCCAGCTTAAAGAAACAACATTTCAAAGTCACCTGGCTTGTTGCCTGAGCACACCTACAGCTTCTCTCTCTTAGAAGCAGGTGATACCCACAGGCATAGACGTAGACTCTTCTTGGCTGAGCAGGAGAGCAACCACCACTGCTCTGTCCCGGACAGAGGATCTAGACTGAGGTGGAGGAGGAGGTGGGAACTTGTACAATTCCCTCAATATCTATCCTGGGCTCACAGGCAACTGTCAGCCTGGATAACACACACTCTCTCCACATTTGCACAACCTCCTCTGCTTTCCAGAGGCATCAAAATGTTGTAGAGGCTAACACAATTCCTATAGTTAAAGCATTTACTTTTATGTGTGCTTGACTGCGTTGTGTGCATACAGGAGCAAACAAAAGTCAGAAGAGGGCGGCAGAGCCTCTAGAACTGGAGTTATAGGCTCTTGTGAGCCACCATGTGGGTGCTGGGATTCATACTGGGGTCCTGTACAACACAAAAAGTAACCATAACTACTGAGCTGTCACCCCAGCCCCAGTTGTTTGAAAGCTAAAGAAAACAGCGGCAGTCACGTCTGCAAAACCAGTTCCAGCTCCAGTGTGTTCTATGTTATGCCTAAGGCCTGGCTGATAAAGTCTGGGTTTTCAGACAGGAGTTCAAACCCTCACTGTTAACTGCCTTAGCTGTGTGAAATTGGGGACAATTAGGGCCTAACTCTCTCTTCCCTTGTAGAATAGGAAACTTTTTATAGATGAAATAATCCCCATCAAATCCTTAAGGTGGTGTTCACTGAGGCACACGGGAAGTGTTCAAATAGATGAAACACAAAATCACTGTTCACTAAGTAATAGCTAATTTTAAATTCTCTGATTTCTTTTCAGGCTTTTGTACAGGTATGTGCTACTTGTCCATGAGCCCATTCCCTCTACCCTCCCCGTGCCTGCCTCTTCTGCCTCCTATTGGTCACCTTTGTCACCCTGAGGAAATTCCTTTTGTCTATGTAGACAGATCATCTAAGACATTGGAATTCCAAAGTTCCTTATTTGGGCTGCCAAGGTGGCTCAGTGGGTAGAGGTGCATGTGTTCAGCCCCTGAGGACCTGAGTCTCCCTCCTGAATCTGAGGAGGTGGCAGGAGAGAACTGAGTCCAGACCACCATGTGTGTTGTGAATGTGTGAACCCACACACAGTGTAAAATACATCATTACTTTTAGTATTTTTTTCCCTTTGATCATATGCTTTCCCCTCCTCCAACTCCTTCCCCACCCAACCTCAAGTTCTTTCTCTTCCTTAAATTCTTTAAAAGTTAATTGTTTCCCAAAGAGTGGATGCTTCAGTCCTACTTAGAAGGGGGAACAAAATAATCAAGGAAAGTAGAGGGTGGGAGGGACTTGAGAGAAAGCGGGGGAGGGGGAAAAGAGGGGAAGAATCAGATGGAGGAGATGGGGAGATGGACAGAGGGTCAGGAAATTGAACAGAGGTGTGTAGCAATGGGGGAATGGGGAACTGGGGGTAGCAACCAGAACATACCAGACACCAGGAAAGCAAGAGCCTCCCAGGACCCCATGGGGATGATATTAGCTGAAATACCCCACCAAGGGGAGGGAGAATGTGTAGAGACCATATCTAGAAGTTAGGCATGCTCACCCCACCGTTGAGGGATGAGGCCACCCCCATCTCCAAAATTTTAACCCAGAATTGCTCCTGTCTAAAGGAAATACAGGGACAAAGAGTGGAGCAGAGACTGAAGGAAAGGCCATTCAGAGACTGCCCCACCTGGGGAATCCACCCCACATGCAGACACCAAACCCAGACACTATTGCAGATGCCAAGAAGTGCTTGCTGACAGGAGCCTGATATCGCTGTCCCCTGAGAGCCTCTGACAGATCCTGACCAATACAGATGCAGATGCTCGCAGTCAACCATCCACTGAGCATGGAGACCCCAATGGAGGAGTTAGGGGAAGGACTGAAGGAGCTGAAGGGACCTTATCTGGCATCAATGGGAGGGGAGGCCCTTGGTCCTGTGAAGGTTTGATGCTCCAGTGTAGAGAAATGCTAGTGCAGGGAGGCGAGAGTGGGTAGCTGGGTGGGGGAGCACCCCCATAGAAGCAGGGTAAGGGGGGATGGGGTAGGGGATTTACAGAAGGAAAACTGGGAAAGGGGATGATATTTGAAATGTAAATAAATAAAATATCCAATTAAAAAAGTTAATTGCTTCATTGATAACACTCTATTTTATGATGAGAACATTTGCTCTGATATAATGTCTGTATCTGCTTAATTTAGGGTCCCCGTGGTTACTTTGATTTTACAACAGATAGAGGTGTTATAGTTTAGATCCCATATACATCCCAAAAGGTTTGAACCCCTGCCCTTGGTGCTGTTGAAAGATAGCTGAAGGGATTGAGCCCATTGAGAGTGTGTTTTTGAAGGGGGTTTTGGAACCCAGACCCCCATCTTATCTCTGTCTTTGCTTCCCCTGTGATGAAAATATCGAAAGTAGGGGCTCCTCCACCATACTCCCTGACAGGTGTGGCCACAAGCCCCAAACCAAGAGGCCATGGACCCAAACTTTTGGGACAAGCCCTCCCTGCTTATAAATCGTCTCTAGAACGTTGGTGAAAGAACGCTGTTACGGCTGAATTACAGCAATATGAATCTCAAATGATGGAGATCTTCCGCATCCTACAAGATGAGAAGGAAGGCAGGTTTTGCTGTTCCGTTTGTCTTACGACTACTTTTACCCGTCTGCAGGCTAATGGTATTAGTTTATGCCTGCACATTTAAAAAACATATTCAAGTATTAAATAAAGGTTCAGATGTTCTCAAGTGTTCCAAATCCCATTGGGCAGACACGGAGTATTCAAACACACGCACTTTTAAAAGTTCCTTGTTTAAACTTTTGCTTTTGCTTTACAGATAATGCATAGTACACACGGCAAAACTGAAAGCTACAGGCTGTTCCGAGAGTTTTCATTTCCCAACCGCTAGTCTCACAGCTGCCTAAGCAACCACTTCCTGAAATGCAAATACAGACGCGAGCGCTCACACTCGCTACCCCACACCATACATACTGATTATTGAGTACTGGGGAAATCTCTACACCTTCAGCTCGCCCCAGGGACTGGTTCTCACAAGGGAGAGACCAGCGCCGGCCACTTCTAGTCTCTGTAAGGTGGTTCATTTCTGTTTTTCTTCCAGTAAACTGAGTCTGTTTGGCTTCTCTGAGCCTGCTCGCCCAGTCCTTAGTGAAGTCGGGGCTAGCAGAGAGGACAGGAAGCAGGTGTCCGGCGCCATCGGAGGGCTGGCCTGCGTGGGAGCCGATGGTTCCCGCAGCGCAACCCGAGTGACTCTGGCTAGACCCGCCTCCCCCTGCACCTTAGAAACCGCACCACCCGTCAGCTGGCTTCAAAACAAAGAGTCCTTTCAGCCGCTTCAGATGCTGGCTCGTCGCCATGACAACCGTCCTCCGCCTCCTTCCCCTCCCCTCCCGGCTCCCCGCAGCTGTGTGGGTGGAGGCGCCGCTTTGTCCCCGGGGGCCGGCTTTATTTCCCGCCTTTGCGGTGGACGAGAAAGGAGTCACACCCGGGAATTCACTGTAGAAGCCGCAAGTTTCTTTTTAGCCAGGATGGTTGGGTCCGGAGAGCCTGTCCCCGCAGGCTCAGCAGCGCCACCTTCCGTGGCCAAGAGCGCACTGCCCAGTCCGCCGCTGCGCAAAAGCTCCGTGAGACTTCCCATTGTCGCTATTCTAGTGGCGTTCACATTTGAACAGCTAGAGCTTTCTTGGCTGAAAAGACAGAATGGTTATGTAAACAATCAAGACGATCTGTCTCGTGTTTCAGATGCTTCTTATTTTCAATGATTATATGCACTTTCAAAAAATTTGTATTTTTGATGAATTTCTCAATATTTACTTTGTCTATCCTATGAAGGAACTTTTTAAAAAAAAAAAAATAAAAGAGCCGGAAAACAATCTTCGGCTGCCGTGTGAATTCGGGAGTTCCTGTAGGTCCACGCGCCTAAAGCTGTCTGAGGAATTCTAGGAGGACAGATGGGGCTTACGAGATCTGTCTGGGAGCCTGGGGGTGGAGGGGGAGTACAGCCTGAGAGAATAGATCAGGAGAGAGAAGGCAGAACAGTGTGCAGAGAAAAACAGGCTGTGTCCGTGTGCAGAGGAGCATAGGATGAGTTATACGAAGTCACATTTCCGCGTCTCTGAGAGGGAGTGGTCACAATATTCCTAACATTGTACTTAATAAAGGCAGATGCTGAAGGGGATTCTGGGGCAGCGGCGTCACATCTCATTGAGTCAATTTTTAAACAAAACTTGAAAAATCATTCCCAAAAGATTAAAAGGCCATCCGTAACACTCAGACAATGTTAAGTAAGCCACGTATAGAAAAGGAAACCCATCAGGTGACTGACAGAGGAAGTTTTTCTGGTCTTCACTTCTAGCTACACAAAAACCACATTTGATGAACAGGAAGCAGCCGGGTCTGGCACACAGTAGACAAATGTTTGCAAAGCAGAGGTTTGGTTTGCTCTTTCCTTCTGAGAGCAATCTTTATCTAAATAACTACTTAGAAAATAAGTATGTTACTTGAAAACTTTTTTTGGACCAATCTCTTTTCTTCCTCCGGAGATTTTCTCATTTGATGACTATTTCTACTGTAATTTCAAACGGGGAGGTATGAGGCAATGTCACAAAACGCTTTTTAAAAAACAAAAAACAAAAAAAAACCGCTTTTTTTTAGCTTTGAAATTATTTTAAAATTTCTTTTCACACCCCTGCCCTGCACGTGCCCTGCGGGGTGAGTAGGGACCACCAGGTGGGTAGCACAAACCTTTAATCCCAGCATTCGGGAGGCAGAGGGAGACAATTCAAGGCTGTACCAGTCTACATAGTGACTTTCAGGCCAGGCAGAATTACCCAGCGAAACTGTCTCAAATAACAAAACGAAAGGGAAAAAAAATGTTTTTGCATGTAAGAGGTACGTGTTTGCATTTGTGCATGGGGACACTTGTAGGTGTCAGAAGACAACCTTGACTATCACGCCTCACCTTCCACCTGATTTGAGATGGGGCCTCTTGTTTTTAGATAGTGCCAGAGACCTTCATCTAGGTTGGCATGGCGGTCATCACCGCAGTTTGTCATTTTATCTTACAATGCGCCTAGCATTTTTGTTCTTTGCAACACCCTTCACACTTCATCTTACCGAATGCTTCATTTAAATCTAACTGAAGATAAAATTTCCCTCTGATCTCTGCGTCACACTTTCCCGAGTCACAGTGACCTATGATCACTTTAGATTTAAAGTGGCTTCAAAGACCCGTCGGAAGTGGGAATTGAGATTCTGAAAGGAGAAGTCAGTCTTGCCTGTCGGTCTGTTGTCTGTCGGTCTCTCCCTTCCTTCCCCCCTCCCCACTCCGTTTCTCCTTTTCTCCTTTCCTTTCCTCTCTCGTCTTCTCCCCTCCCCTCCTTTCCTCTATTCTTCTCCCTTCTTTCCCTCTGGGTTGGAACTCCCTATGTAGACAAGGCTGGCCTCGAACTCACTGAGATACACCTGCTTGTCTCCTGAATGCTGGGATTCAAGACCTGCGCCACAAGGCCCAACAAACAGTACACTTTCTAAGTACACCTGTGTCATGGAGGGTAGTTATGATTGGTTATCTGTGTTGCACTAAATTAGCAGCATCCCGGTTATCATTTTACCTTTCCGGTCACTTTCCCCCCCTCCCGGAGGCCCTTTGTGACTGGATGACCGACTGTCTTCATCCTCCAATGAGGGCTTGGAGACTCAGAGCTACACCAATGGAAGGTTACCGGACCTTCGATAAAGACCAATCGGATGCTAGAGCCTAGCAAGCAAACAGCGATCAATCAGAGCGCAGGAGCGGCGGCTGGGGCGGGGCTGGCCAATCAACCTGCGAGCGGGTTGCGAGGGGGCGGAGCCTTCGTGCTAGGAGCAATGCGCAGCGCGATTGCGCTGCGGAGCCGGAACGGAGCCTGAGACCTGGTCGAAGCTGGTAGGGCTGGGCGCTCGCGGATGGGAAGGGCTGCGTTGGGCGTCGCCTGGGAGAGGGACCGGAGGAGTCGCGGGCTAAAAAAAAGCAAAACCAAAAACTGTTGCCATGGCAACACAGGTGCACAGTCCTGGGACCAGGGTCCCTGCTTCTGGACAGTTTTCGGGCTGGAGCCCCTAGGCCCATGGGGCCTCCAAAACCCTAGGTTTGCAAGCTGCTGGGCTGCAACCTCTCCGTGCCTGTCGTGTCAGCCTGCGATCTGGACTCTCCTGGGGCACTAAGAAAACAGGTCTTAGCAATGTGACCAGTTATGCTAGCTCAAGTCAGTTCGCTTCTAGGCCACCCCTGGGTGCAGCACAGCCTCCTTATCCTGGAGATGTCACTGTAGACAAACTAGGGTGTCTCCAGGGATTTTTTTTTTAAGCATCCAACGAAGTACTTTGTGCACACATAATTCAGAGAATAGGTCCTTAGTGAATAAGTAAAGATCACAACGGCAAAGATTCCAGGGGCGGACTCTGCTCAGGAGAAATAGAAAGCTCATCATGTATGCTATTTTGAATAGGAACCATGGTAGGCTAACGATAAGTTAAATTTTAATATATTTCACTTGACCCAAACATATTACTAGTATAAGTGGTAAGGTAGATATTTAAAATTAAATACTTAACCAAAACTGTCCAGTCTCTTGTCTATGTTACAGTACATGTCCGTCCCACCAGCCGCTTTTCAAATGCTCACCACCCATGTAGGTAGTGCCTGCCGCCTTTGTTTATTTCATTTAGGGTTTTTGGAGACAGGATCTTGTTATGTAACCCAGGCCGGTGTCAAACTTGTGATCCTCCTGTCTTAGCCTCTCAAGTGCCTGGCAAAGTAGTATTTAAAAGGAAATTAAGTATATTTTGTGTGTGGCCGTGTGAACAACAGGTCGTCACTTCTCATTGCTCACCTTATGGGTCCCAATGAATTGAATCCCATTTTTTTAGGATCATTAGCAAGCCATCTCACAAGCCCGAAACTAGTGTTTTAAGTTGATATAACTCAGGCAATGGTAAACATAACTGAAAGAATACAACGGATAAACAAGATGGCTGCTAGTTATTCTGGGGAATTCAAGGGAAGGGTCCTTAGAGCTCATGTAGTAGTAGAAGGTATGTCCAGTCAGTGCCCTGCAAGCCACATGTGGCTCAGGGCAGCTATGAAGGTTGCCCAACACAAACCTGTAAACTTACGTAAATCGTGAGGAGATTTATTTTCCCATCTTGTAACTTGTCTGGTTCCCGAGCGGGCTTTTTTGTGGATGACAGTGTGATGTTGCAATATCAAAAAGTCGAATGCATCTCTGGAGGACTTGAACCTGATCCTGAAAGAAGGGTAGGTCTTGAGCTGCTGGAAAATAGGGGTGTTTTAATTCAGTGACACTGAATCCAGCCTCTTTTGTTTTTAGGGTTGAAAACTAGCCGAATCCAGAGGCTCACAGACTGAACAAGCATACCTCTCCCACCGGCCTCTTCACCATGATTCACAGTCTTTTCTTGATCAACTCTTCTGGTGATATTTTCCTGGAGAAACACTGGAAAAGCGTGGTCAGCCGCTCTGTTTGTGATTACTTTTTCGAGGCCCAAGAGAGAGCTACGGAGGCAGAAAATGTGCCTCCAGTCATCCCCACCCCTCACCACTACCTCCTGAGCGTTTACCGACACAAGATCTTCTTTGTGGCTGTGATCCAGACAGAGGTCCCACCTCTGTTTGTCATTGAATTCCTTCACCGAGTCGTGGACACATTTCAGGTTTGTAAATGTGGGAAGGTATATAGATGTATATAAGCCATAAAAGAACCACACCTTTGGTGGGTTCTCATTCTGTAGCCCGGGCTAGCCTGAGTTGTGTAGCCCAGGCTGAACTCATATTTGCAGCAGTCCTCCTGCTTCAGCCTTCTAGGCTCTGGGATTATAGGCATAAGCCATCATGGCATCTTGCAAAAATGTTTTTATAGTACTGTCTCCATTTTGTTTAGCTTGGGTTTAGAGCATTTTTTAAGAATCAAAGCTGAGCATTGCCCATATCCTGTCTAAGAGTCTTCCTATTTTCTTAGTTGGCTGCATTCAGAAGAACCAATTGGATGCTCTTAAGTCTCTTGCATGAAAGAGCTACTCACTTCACATGAGTGTGTGGTCTTAGCTTTGCTCTCAGATTAGAGTTGATATATATGTATATATACATATACACACATGTACATACACACACACACATATATATGTATACACACACACATATATATATATACACACACGCACACACATATATATATATATGTATATACACACACACATATATATATACACACACACACACACACACACATATAATTTTTTGGTTTTTTGAGACAGGATTTCTTTGTGTAGTTCTGGCTGTCCTGGAACTTACACTGTAGACCACGATGGCCTCGAACTCAGACATCTGCTTGCCTCTACCTCCTAAGTGTTGGGATTAAAGGTGTGAGCCACCACCACCTGGTGAGTTCAGATCTTTTTTAGTACTGTGAAGTTTATGCTAGCCATTGTTAGCTGCATTGCTTTGAGTTGTATCCAAGAACAACAAGTGTCAAGTTTTCTAAAAGAACAAAGGGGAAGAGCTAAGAGGCACTTACTTGGACTGCTCCTGGGTGGGGTCACTGGTGAGTTCAGCCTTCATTCTGAATGAGTTGAGGACACGTAGCATGTGTGCTGACGCAAGTTCCTGTCACGGTTTTCTGTTCTTGGGAGAAGGTGAGGTATGTTGTAATTTTCATTTTGATTTGTAGCTCTAAGGCTGTGGTTCCCAACCTGTGGGTTGAGATACCTTTAGGGGTTAAACAGCCCTTTCACGGGGATTACATATCCGATACACACTTTATGATTCATAACAGTAGAAAAATTACAGTTATGTAGTAGCAATGAAAGTAATTTTGTGATTGGGGGTCACCATGACATGAGGAATTATATTAAAGGAAGGTTGAGAGCACTGCTCTGTGGAACCAGGGAGAGGGAGGTGAGGTATCCCCACATGGGAGTACAGTTTAAGCACAGATTCTGGGTCCATGCAGTCCTTGTCATGATAATCACCCAACTTTACTCGCCGTTGCGTTACCTGGATGGTAGACTAGGAGAACGGCTCTTTGGTTTAACTTGTCTGTTGTGTGAAGTCTGGAGTTAGCCACGTACACACGTACACAGGAATTATGGGGTTAGGGAAGGGGAGGAGTGAGTGGTGACCCAGTGGGAGCAAGTTTGTTCCGTCCACAGTGTTCACCCCAGTGTCACACGAGCAGGACTGTTTTCATGGTAAGAGAATCAAAGCATATTTTCTCAGAGTACTATTCTGGAATTCCAGTCCTCATGCTGCGTGCCAGCAGCTAGACGCAATGAACAACCTACTATTTCAAGCCCAGAATACGGAGCAAACAGAAGAATCCAGTAGTTAAGTTGTTAAGCTACTCTCCATGGCCCTGCTGTGATTTCCAAGTAGTTTACCCATATGCAACTTAACAGTCTCTTGTCATATCAGTTACTGCGTAACTTACTGCAAACCAGGAAGGGAAAGAAGTTGTCTATTTAAAACCACAGAGGTGAGGCTTGAGACATGGCTCATCAGTAAAAAAACAAAACAAAACAAAACAAAACAAAACAAAACAAAACAAAACAAAACAAAACAAAACAAAACAAAAGAAACCACTACCCGGGCTCAATTTCCAGCCCCCACACAACTATCTGTAGCTTCCGTTCCAGGTGATCTGCTGCCCTCTTCTGGTCTATGTTGACACTGCATGATCGTGTGCAGACAGACAGACAGACAGACAGACATACTAATACCTGCACACAAAGAAAACTTAACAACAACAAAAAAGTTAAAACCACAGAGGAATCTGGGGAAGTAGAATCGAGTTCAGTTTTGAAGCCACTAGGAAATGTGGGCCGGCGTGGGGCTTAGCACCTAGCTTAGTGTTTCTCCTCTTGCACTGTCTGTTCCTAGTTCTTGAAGGCAACGGAGTCCCCCGGGGCAGAATTGCTAACTGCGTTTGCCGTAGCGTCTTGCATTGAAGGGCTCCTTCTACGTTGTGTTTGGTTTATAGAACCCCCTGAGACGAGTATTTATTTTTCAAATGAGATCATTGTTGGGAAAGAAACATGGTATTTTCCTTCAACTATGCTCTTGTTCCCTCCCTCCTTCCCTCTCCCCCCTCTCTTAAGGAATATATTTCTAAGATTTATCTGGTGTTTACCTTGGACTCTCACCAATGCCTAGCACTGTCTGACGTGGCTTAGACTACATCTCAGAGAATCAGTTTAAGGGCCAGGTAAGGACATTATCTAAGGCCCATCCCATTGCCTGAGCAGTGACGGGCCCTCGGGGGTGTGACCTAGAGAAGAAAGACGTCTGCCAACAGACGTCTTTAGATAGAAGAGCTAGGAGGCCGCCATCAGCTTAGCAGTCAGCAGGATTTCTCAAGTGTGCGCTTTGCCCATTCAGTGATATGTGTAGCCATCTTGGAGGACCTGTAAGAGCCACGCCTGACTGAGAAACATACACCAACTGACCACATACCTGGTCACTGTTGTCATCATCCTTACCATGTTTAGTTTGCACAACATGCTTACACACCCACCCAGTGTTACCGAGTTATGCCATTAAATCAGGACCCAAATCATTAACAAGTGACATTTAAGGTTATAACCTAAGAGACCCTGGGTTTGATCCAGAGCACGAGGAAGGGGAGAGAGAATGAGAGGAGTATGGTCTGTGTCTTCTGTGCTTTCCCACACCCTGGATACGTTCAGCGTGTGGTTAGCACTTTAAGTAAATGATAGACTTTTGGGAATCTCAACTTGAGGGATGCTCTAAAGAGGCCTCTGCTGGGCTACAGTACCTCTCTCCACTTCATCCTTTCCTGAATGAATTTCAAGAAAGTAGACAGCGGGCCGGGCGGTGGTGGCGCACGCCTTTAATCCCAGCACTTGGGAGGCAGAGGCAGGCGGATTTCTGAGTTCGAGGCTAGCCTGGTCTACAGAGTGAGTTCCAGGACAGCCAGGGCTACACAGAGAAACCCTGTCTCGAAAAACCAAAAAAAAAAAAAAAGAAAGTAGACAGTGGAAGGTTTTCTGTACAGTGCTCTGTCACATCAGTCATTACAACTTTGCACAGCTCATATGCTTTTGTATGTGAGCATATCTAGTCTAGAGTAAGCTTTGTTTCATTTTCATCAAGTCGAGGAAGTCAACCCAAAGAGCTTGACTTCCTCTGGTTACTGACAGCACAGATACCGGAGGCTAGTCCTAGTTGTTAACCTAAGCCAGGCCGCCCAGGAGACGGAGGCCCTGCCTGTTTCCCCTGAGTGGATGTCCTGGACACACTGGCTGAACACCATGGACGGGCCAGTTCCTCCTGTCATGAATATTGTCTCATCTCTTCCCGCAGTCTGGGTGCTAAGTCTGCTTCTTATGTCTTCACCAGGACTATTTTGGGGTCTGTTCTGAGCCAGTGATCAAAGACAACGTGGTGGTAGTCTACGAGGTGTTGGAAGAGATGCTGGACAATGGCTTCCCCTTGGCTACAGAGTCAAACATCCTCAAAGAACTGATAAAGCCTCCCACCATTCTCCGGACAGTGGTCAACACCATCACAGGTGTGAGGGGGCGGGGTTGGGGGAGGCACAGTGGAAACCCAGGCTCCCCGACCCCTGGCATCTCTGAGTTCTTGGGAGTCTCATCTTATTTTTCATGTGCTGACCTGAAAATCTAACCTGAAATTATAATTGCATGTGGAAAGTATAATTATAACTTAATTAATAATTATAATTTTACTTCAATTTTATGTAGCTCCTAGTGGCACAGCACTTGTCTTAGCATGCAATCTCAGCTCCAAAGGGGAAAAAAAAAACTTATTTAGCAGGATTTTCTTTCAATTAAAGGGGAAAATATCATTAGCATAAAAACTAAGAAACGCAAGAATATGAAAATCTCCAAATTTAACTACTCTTTTAATATTTATACATATATAAATATGTATATATATATTTATTTCTTTAGACAGGTGAATGATGTGTAGATAGAATACATTTTTATTTCAATTTTATTTTATGCATTATTGGTGTTTTGCCTGCACATATGTTTGAGTACCATGTGTGCCTGGCTCCCTGAGGAAGCCAGAAGAGGACCTCTAGTCCCCTGACCTGGAGTAGCAGACAGTTCTGAGCTCCCACGTGGGTGCTGAGAGTTGAACCCTTTTCTTTTGGAAGAGCAGCCAGTGCTCTTAACTGATGAACCATCTCTCCAGCACCCAGGTAAAATACTTCTAAATAATAGCATGCATATTTTTAAAAATCATGGAATCATGGCTTTTATCAATGTTTTATGAGCATCTAACTGATCTACTGACATTGTTAACAATTAGTATTTTTTCTATGTTCAGTGGACCCTGGCTCATTTGTCTAACCCCTGATGTCCCTGATTTTTTTTTTTTTTATCCTTTCAAAACACAGGATTCTTGTGTTTGAGTCTTGTCTATTCAGTTCGGGAAAAGGAGGAGCCATGCTAAGGGGTTTTAGAGACACTAACATATCAAGCTTGAAAACTCTTGGCAGCCTTAGCTTCCCGTTGTCGGACTGACCCATTGTCACTGACCCTGCTAAGTTCTGAGGGTGTGGGCCACTGGATAGTTGGTGTTTGTGTTACCAGGAAGGTTTCAAGCCTGTGGGGAGCTCCTGCTAGTTTGCAGGCTCTGCCTTGAAAGCTCTGTTGTCCGAGGCCCTCGAAACCTGTTCCTTGCACTTAGCTTTGCCATGGCCGTTGCTATGACATGTGAAATGTTTTGATTTAGTTATAATGAAAGCAGAGGTTTCCGAGAACTCGATAAACTAATTTCTGGAAAATACGACCATGAAGAGGAACAGGGCAGTTTTGTGAAGGGATTACAGAAGGGTTAGATTTGCTCTATCATCCACAGAGAGGCATCAAGTTCATGTGGCACGCCACACAGAAACTCACAGTTACCACACTGGAAGAGACAAGACAAATTTTCAATTTGTTTTTTAAAGGAGACCGAGAGAAAATGTGTTGTACCAGATACATGCAGTGTACCAGGTACATGTGCCAGGTACATGCGATGCTGTTTTGATGATTAAAAAAAAAAAACAGCACTGGCCCAATTGTGTTTTTGCAACATTCTGAGTTTAGTTGAAGCCTTAAAACCTTTGTGAGGCTTTGTTAAAAAAGTTTTAGGGTCTCTATCTCACTCGGCTATAGAAAATTCTCCCGTGAAACCCCCCATTTTGAAAAGCTGTAATGTTCTATACATATGACTATACATGTGTTTAGGGGTTCTTTCTTTAGAGTAAAAAGATAACAGGCAGTGGGAAGAGGAAATAGGATTTAAATTAGTTACAGTCATCAGCTCGATCTAAAATTAAGCTTTGATGTGTGTGGGAGCCGGGTAGCTAGGATCTGATGCACAGCTGCGGGGGGGGGGGGGGGGGGGGGGGGGGGGAGAGGGCTGGATCTGTCTGCTGGGTCCATCGTCTGCGGGGTCTGTCCGCGGGGTCCGTCTGCGGGGTCCGGCTGGGATCCGGCTGAGATCTCTGAAGGATCCGGCTGAGGTCTCTTTGGTCCAGTGCGGGGATGACACAGATCCTAGGGACGAGGACCTGCCTTAAACTAGAATAGCGTTTCACTGGTGATGGCGCTGCGTCCATGTGTAGGTGCCCAGCCCTACAGAAACACAGTACATTATGTAAGCTGTTGTGGAATTTGAGCCCCCCCCCCCCCGAGTCCTTGTACTCTCAAAACCAGAATATGATATCCACTCCTCAGGTGGCTCTCTCTCCAACCTTTGCTCCAGGCAGCAGACCAGATGGCGACAATAGCTTTTAAAAATAGACCGGGCTGTCCTACATAGGAGAAGCGGAAGGCTTATCTTCCATATGGTGTTGAACCAGTAACGAGGGCATGGACACTTGTAGGGAATATCCTTAGGTTGTTCGGTTTGAATTGGCATCAAAGTACCAATTTGATGCGAGTTTACCAGTATTAATTATCTCAGGAAGCACCAATGTGGGGGACCAGCTTCCAACTGGGCAGCTGTCGGTGGTGCCTTGGCGACGGACTGGGGTGAAATATACCAACAACGAGGCCTATTTTGATGTGGTGGAAGAGATAGATGCCATCATCGACAAATCAGGTGGGTGCGGAGTGCGGAGGGAGGGAGGCTGCGTTCCCTGAGTGCACGTGATGATGCTCACACACACAGCCCTTTGTGGGACTTCTCTTGAATGAGAAACTGGAGTAGCAGGGTTGAGGATTGTGGGTGGGGAAGGGAGACACAGAGTAACAAGGCCGAGTTTGGCAATGCATACTGGTCATCTGATTGAGACAGGAGGATCAAGATTTCCAGGCCATCTGGAGCTGTGCAGCCAGACCCTGTTTCAGGAAACTATGAAAAAAAAGGGTTGAGAGTGGACAGTACAAAGTGCACTCTCTTGGTTAGGTGTCCTGTTTGGTGGTGTTGGCTTCTCAGGTCTGGAGGCAGAACCAGTGTTGGATTGACAAGGTTCTTTCCTGTTTGCTTCAGTTAAGCAAACAAGTTCTGGGCATGTGGGAGCGCTTCCTACTCCAGCAGTTACCCACCTGCTGATGGCTTTTGGAACCTTGCTCATAGCACAGCGGGTCCAGGTGAGGGAGGTGCAGGCACATGGGCTTAGCCTTGTGCTGTCAGCAGAGTAAACTGCCAACTCCACCACCTGCAGTGCCTGAGAGCTGCCGCTCAACAGCTCAACAGCAATTCAGAGAAATATGCCTGGAGAGAGGGGCGTGAGAAGAAAAGGAAAGGTGAAACTTTAAAACTGGCTCGGCAGTGCAGTTTTTCATGTTAGCACAAATGAGAAACACCCCGACTGTCCATTAGCAAAGAAAATGATCAGTAAGCTTTGATATTGTCACCCAGTGGAGTACTATACAGTAGTGAAAAAAGAATCTACATGAGTGTCTCTTAGACTGTTGGGGAAAACAGAGTCAGATGTGTGTTATCGTATGCAGCGAATTGCATTTAGTAAAACTTGAAAGCAGGTAGAATTTGAGGTCACAGAAGTCAGAATTAAGGGGGATGCCATTAGGAAGAAGAGGAAGGAACATGTTCTCATGTTAGAAAGTTTCCTCCACGTTTAATATGGATCGTATTTTAAATATGTGTTTAAAATTCACTGAGCTGTAAGGTTTTTACATTTTGATATTTTGTATCACCATTAAAAATTTTTTAATTGACCCTAGAGAGATGGCTCAGCAGTTAGGAGCCCTGGTGCTTCCAGATGCTGGGCTCAATTCCCGGCTCGCACAGGATGGCTTTCATCTGGCTATAACTCCAGTACCAGGTGATCTGATGCCCTCTTCTGGCCTCCATTGGCACTGCACACAGGAGGTGGCACAAACATACAAGCAGGCAATACCTCATAAGCATAGAATAAAAATACAGGCAAAATATCTTAAAATATTTTTTTATTAGAGTGGCAACTTGTGTCAGGCTTGATGGCACACACCTTTAACTCCAGCACACTTGGGGAGGCAGAGGTAGGTGGATCTTTGTCAATGTGAGACCAGTCTGGTCTATATTGCAAATTCCAGGCCATTTATAGCTTTATATAGTGAGACTCTGTCTTCAAAAGCAAGCAAACAAACAAACAAACAAACAAACAAACAAACCAATGGCCAGTGTCTTAGTTAGGGTTTCTATTGCTGTGAAGAGACACCATGACCAAGGCAACCCTTATAAAGAACATTTGATTGGGGCTGTCTTACAGGTTCAGAGGTTCAGTCCATTATCATCAAAGCAAGAAGCATGGCAGCATCCAGGCAGGCATGGTGCAGGAGAAGCTGAGAGTTCTACATCTTATTCTGAAGTCAAATAGAAGACTGTTTCCCATGTGGCTAGGAGGAAGGTCTCAGGGCCCACCCCAAAGTGACACACTTCCTCCTGCAAGGCCACACCTACTCCAACAAGGCCACACCTCCCAAGAGTGCCACTCCCTGGGCTAAGCACATTGAAACCACCACAGCCAGTCTTGTTACAATGTGGGAGACTGTTCTACAGTGGGGTGGGCTGGAGGCAGAGACACCATTAGGAGATTGGAACTAAAGTTCCAACTCAGAGTATAGGTGTCCATAGTAAATACGTATCCCCAGAAAGAAAGGAGTTGGTTCCCAGACAGAGGGGCATACCTGCTATCCCAGCACTAGGAAGCTGAGGCAGAAGGAACAAGTTTGAGATCAGCGTGACCTACAAAAAAAATAGTATTTAGCCAGACATGGGGAGAGAAGGGGTGAGTCGGCCATGGATACCTGGCTGAGGGACATGGATAGATAGTGCCACCTTAAACTACAGATGGGGCCATCAGGGAGTCTGGGCGAATCCACTGTTGGCAATGAGCTTGCAACACCGGTGACACTTGGAGAGCCATCCCCTGGTCAAGAGTAAAGCTGAGTTTGTAATGCAGTGTGTCACAGGGCCTGCACAGATGCAAACCAGATAGGGGTCCCGGGACTGTCATGGGGACACAGGCCCTAACCAAAGCTATCTGCAATTGACAACCACTTATAAAGGAAGAAACAAAGTCTTCTCCAGTGGAGTCTCTCTGGGCATAGTAGCCACACCCAGTGCCCAGCAGTAGGCGGATAATGCGAAATGAATTCAGTGGTACTTCTGTTGACTTTCTGTCTCTTACGACTTTGTTTTATTGGACTTCTGCTTGTGTTTTTGTGGGGTTTTTCTGTTTGCATTTGCATTGTTTTTTTAAATAAAGAGAGAGAGGCATAGAGTTGGGTGAGTAGAGAGGGCGGTAGAATCGGGAGGAGGTGGGGGAAAATGTGATTAGAATATATCATGTGAAACAATCTTTTCCTAATTAAAAAGAGACACACAATGCAGACAACTGGGTGTAGTAGAGACTGAAGCCTTGGGAAAGACTTCGGGGAGAGTAGGAGGGGCTTGGCCTGAGGGCATGGTGTTAGACCCTGTGCAACAAAAGGGTAGCTGAGGATGGAAGGGGCAACTAAAAAAGAGAGGGAGGGGGAGAGGGAGGGAAGGAAAGAGAAGGAGGGATGGGGAGAGAGAGGGAGAGGGAAGAAGGGAGGGAAAGAGAGAAGGAGGGAGGGGGACAGGGAAGGAGAGAGAGGGAGAGGGAAAGTAGAGAGTGGCAGAGGGAGGGAGAGGGAGGAAGACAGAAGGAGGGAAGGGGAGGGAACGAGAGAGGAAGGGAGGGAGAGGAGAGAGAAGGAGGGATAGGGAGAGAGTGGGAGGAGAGAGAGTGGGAGGGAGGGAAGGAAGATGGGAGGTGGGAGGGAGAGAAGGAGGGAAGGGGAGAGAGGGAGGGAGGGAAGAACAGGAAGAAGAGGGAGGGGAAGAGAGAGGGAAGGAGGGGGGAAGAGAAGGAGGAAGGGGGAGAGGGGAGGGGGAGAAGGAAGGAAGGAGAGAGGGAATAAGAGGAAGAGGAGGGAGGGGAGGGAGGAAGAAAAGAAGGGAGGAAGGAAGGGGATGAGGAGGAAGAAGAGAGAGGGAGGAGGAGAGGGAGGACTGCTTATAGAGGAAGAAGTCTGGAGATATGTGGTCAGAGACCTGTAGGGTGAGGACCACAGGCAGCCCCAGCCTTGGCAGCTGAGCTCCTAGAGGTCAGCTTCTTTCAACAAATCCTCTGAACGACTAGTTAAGTTGAACTACTAGTTAAGTTGCTGGTGCTCTGTGACTGGCACTCCATGGAAAACCCTTGTAGAACATCTCTCAGTGGCCTCTTTCTCCGTGCTTTCCTTGGAGTTCATAGACGCGAGCTTGGACGCTGGACAGATGGAACGGATACATGATGTGGGTGGTTAGACAGATGAGAGGCGGCAGGAGGGAGGACCGACAGAGGAGAGGGCAGCTGGATGAGACTCGTGTGGTCCCCAGAGGTCCTCTCTCCTTTTTCCTCTTAGGTTCCACGGTCACCGCTGAGATCCAAGGGGTGATTGATGCCTGTGTTAAGCTGACGGGGATGCCGGACCTCACTCTGTCCTTCATGGTAAGGTCCAGAGCCACTGCTCACCTGCTTGGCATGGGGAAGGAGGTGTTTCTGGAAAGAATGAGAATGAGCCGGCACAAGCAGTAATCACGGTGGCCATGAAGCCTCCGCTGGGCCTCGGACGCATGTCTGTGCTTAGTGAGAATGTCACCTGCGTTGCTTCTCAAAGGAAACCTGGGAGCTTACCCCCACTTTTTGTTCTCCCTGCCTGGCTCTGCAGAACCCCAGGTTGCTGGACGATGTTAGCTTCCACCCCTGTGTCCGTTTCAAGCGCTGGGAATCTGAGCGCATCCTCTCCTTCATCCCTCCCGACGGCAACTTCCGCCTGCTCGCCTACCACGTCAGTGCACAGAAGTAAGCAGCCGCCAGGGGCAGAGTCTGCGGGGAGCTCTGTCTGTAGGGATTAGCCGCTGGCTCCTGGATCCATTGACCTGGGTTCAGGTTCCAGCTCCTTAGCTGTGCCAGCGCAGTGAGCCGTTTTACCCCTCCCTGGCTGTCTCTTTTCTGGGGCGAGTGTCTTTCTGTGAGGACTGAGTGGTCATTGAGGCTGCTATTATTGCTTTCATGGTGATGTCTGCTGAGTCCATCAAAGCTTAGGCTGGCTTTGAACTCACAGCCCTCCTCCTGGGCCTACAGGTATGGGCTACCAGCACAGCAGCTGCTGTTACATTGTTGCTACCTTCAAAAGAAGAACGTTTTTTTTTTCCTGAGATTATCGGCATATCCATATTAAAACCTTCACCTCCATAAAGCATTTAATCCTGCTTTGAAAGACTCAAAGCAGTGACTTTTGGTCTCACGTGTGTCCTTATTCTGTTTTACAGTAGAAAGTATGGAGACTGAGTGGAGTTGAGATCCTAAAGACTCAGGGCCAGTGCTTCCTCCCTGGTGACTCATGTCTGTGTGCCTGACTCTAATCACCCCAACCCAAACCTCTCCTTTCCTTATAGATATGCCCAGACAAAGTTATTCAACCTCAGTGAAGCAAAAGGATAGCAGTATTCATGTATAAACCTCCCCCCCCCACACACACACACAGCCCAATACATTTAAAATTAAAATAATTTTAAATAAGTGGGAAAGGTATCAAGAGAATAGTGAAGGGGTATTTTATCTTTAAAGGTTTCTTTACCCGCTGTCTGTGTGTAAGTGTTTGGCTGCACGTATGTATGTGTGCTGCATACATGACTGGTTGCTGTGGAGGCCAGAAGAGGGCATCAGATCCCCTAGGACTGGAATTCTTGTACACTTCCATGCGGGTGCTGGGAATTGAACCTTGGTCCTGTGCAAGAGCAGCTAGTGCTTTTAACTGATGCTGTCATCTCCAGCCCCCACAGGGGGTTTTCTTTTTCCCAGTTTGTTTTAGATTTATTTATTTTATATGTATGAGTGCTTCGCTTATGTGTATGTGTGTGTACCACATGCATGCCTGGTGGCTGCAGAGATCAGAAGAGGGGGTCTGATCCACTGGAACTGGAGTCCTGGGTCCTTTGCCAGAACAGCAGGTGATCTTAATTGCTGATCCATCTCTCCAGCCCCTGCTGTTTTCTTTTTGAAGAGTGCGTTTTGTCTCTTTTGCAGCCTAGTTGCCATTCCAGTCTATGTCAAGCATAGCATCAGCTTCCGGGACAGCAGTTCCCTTGGACGCTTTGAAATCACAGTGGGACCCAAGCAGACCATGGGGAAGACCATAGAGGGTGTGATTGTAACCAGCCAGATGCCCAAAGGAGTCCTGAATATGAGCCTCACTCCATCCCAGGGGACACACACGTTTGACCCCGTGACAAAGGTAGGGGAGTGGGCATTTGAACCGCCGTCGATGCAGGCTGCATGTGGTGGAAGGCCAGTGTTTCTGACAGAGGGTTCTCTGTGGAGCCCCCTCCTCCCATCAGAAGTGGCTTATAGGGTGGGAGGCAGACAGACGCCCTGAGGTTGTAGCTCTGAGCTCAGATGAAGACATCACTGCGGTTGTGCAGGGGAAACCCCACTTTCTTTATGTTTCCTTCCAAGATGCTGTCTTGGGACGTTGGAAAAATCAACCCACAAAAGCTGCCAAGTCTGAAGGGGACAATGGGTCTCCAGGTCGGAGCTTCTAAGCCGGATGAGAACCCTACAATTAACCTGCAGTTTAAGATCCAGCAGCTGGCCATTTCTGGTGAGTGGCACATCTTGGGCAGTCTTGAAAGGAGTGGAGATAGCTTTCTCCTGCCAGGGGCTGACCTCAGTGTCTTCCTGAGGCTATCTGAGGATGGCTGTATTGGGTCTGGTTTTATTACCCGATATGGAATCGTTAGTAAGATCCCTTGCAGTATGTTCCTGGGGGAAGTGTACAGACTATTTAGAAGCTGCCATAAAGACTCTGAGTCAAAATGTCTGGGACACCAATGAGAAATGGGCTGACAGAAGCCTCTGAAGGCCGTTGTTGGATCATGGAGAGTTGTTGGCTTGAGCTGCCCAAGGTTTTCAGTATTAGTGTACCTCTCCATCCTTCACCAGGAATGGGAACAAAGAAGCCCCCTCTACCCCAAGCTTCAGCAGACTTGCTGTTTACTGACACCATCTTTAGAGATTTCCAGTCTTCACCAGTTTGTCTACACTGAGGGAGGGAAGTAATAACAGATACCGTTTGCTCTAAATATCACCCCTACAACCTGGCATCTCCTAAAATATTTTTTATTCTTGTTTAACTTTTAGAATGGCCTTCTGAAAGCCTTAGAAAGAAATGGGCTTTCTCTCCAGAGAGCGAGCGTTCTTGTTTTTCTTTACCGAAAGACTCTTTAACTTAGGTGCTTAAGTTAAGTGATACGCTCTTTCTCCTAAACCTCTAATGAGCCATAAAGCTATCGGCAAACTGATCCTTGTTCAGTTGGGCAGGAGTATTTAGGAAGCCCTCATCGATCCATTCATGTCCTCTCATCATTTATGAGTGCTGTTATCATTTCAGTCAGTCGAACAACTTGAGCAAAACGCCGTGTTATTTTGTCTCACCCTCTGTGCCTGCCTCTCTGCCCTGTCCGAGGAGAAGGCGGCTTCCCCCAGGAGACGTAACCTTTGCTGTAGACATATGTAGTGAGATTGCAGAGCTGTCCACCTCTGCTTGGCAGAACAGGCATGTTAGACAGTCTCTTCCACACACCCGGCTGTGTTGCTCTGACACAAACCCAGACAACTGTCTGCTTGCTGCTCCTGGGAGATACTCAGGTCTCACTCCTCTCTTCCTCCCTCCAGGACTCAAAGTGAACCGTCTGGATATGTACGGAGAGAAGTACAAGCCCTTTAAGGGCATAAAGTACATGACCAAAGCCGGCAAGTTCCAAGTCCGAACCTGAAGGGCGAGCCTTGCCGGAGGAGCAGTCGCGGACACGTTTTCATTTCTTACTTGTGTAAAAGTAAAATGTCAGCCTGTTTCTTAGGTCCGTTCCCTCCAGGCTCCATCTGTTCCCTTTTGTTCTCCGTCTTCAGCCACATAAGCGATGGAGGGAGAGAAGGCTCATCAGGGAAAACTTGGCCAAACTCAGCACAGCACTGACTGAGTCCTCGAGGTGTGGGCTGGAGAGTGGTGTCCCCATGAACACGGTTGCCGTGGGGAAAGACCAGCCTTTGATGTTCGGTTTCAGTCACCCAAACCCAAAGGAAGATGTCTCTATTGATTTTTTTTTAAAGATAGAAAGATTTGAAAGAAAAAAAAAAGATTGGAAGAAAAATGGGTGTTAGTCCAAGAAAGAGCAGTTGAGATATGATTCGTGGGTCTGGGTTGTAACTTTGTGATCAAGTGCTGACCTGGGTGAGCACCCCCCCCTTCATTCCTGGTACCACCCACAACGCAAGACGGATCTGCTCGACGAAGGACCGGACTGAGAGGCTGGTGTGAAGAAGAGAGTCTTGAAGAGATGCCAGAGTGAAGGGTTGACAAGAAAAACCATCCGAATCTCCCCGGGGGCTAGAAGGAGCCGAGTGCATTGGTTTCTTTCTGACCCCTCTCATGTGTAGAAAGGATTTGCATGTCCAGGACTTCCAAAGTTCAAGTCCACGCTTGATGTGAACCTGCAGCGGGATCAGCTTCCCTTAGAGACTAAGGGGCCAGGGCCTGACTCTTAAGATTCTTACTTGCTGTTTGTGCTGGCCCGTCGTCTTGGTGGGAAGGCTACCAGCCAGAGCAGTTTACAGCCTTTTGTTGGTTATGTGACTCCTCAGTGGGATTGCCCCCCAAAACAGCAGTGCTCAGTGCAGCAGATTTTATGAGTGATGGGGTGGAGTTGAGGTGGGAAGTCACCTCCCACAGCGGACCATGCCCATGCTTGGTGACCTCTGTTAATGTTTGTGAGGCCAGACTGGCCCTATGCCTTGCTTTTTCCTGTCTGAAGGTCCCATCAGAATCCCCCAGTGGGTGTGAGCCCACTGAGAACATTCATGAATACGTGAAGCTGCTTCCCACTGTCTGTACCTATCATCTACAGCTCCCAGACAGACAGACAGCTCCTAGTCCGCTCTTAGGACCAAAAAAAGGTGTCTTGAACCTCTGAATAAAATTAATACCATAGGAGGGCAGGCTGTGTTGACCACGAGTAAACCCCCTCCACCCCCCAATTTTAAACCGTGGGAACTGAAGGAGCACAACTTTCCTAAGGAGTATTCTTAACCCATTTCAGTGAATCTATCAGTCGTTTTACTGAATACATAAAAGGTGGGCGTGTTGTTTTTAATTTACAGCTTAGGGAGCAGCTTGTGTTCTGTGTTGTGCCTGGAGGGAAAGAAGACCAGCTACCTTCAATCCGCATGGCTCTCCCTGAGAAAGTCCTATTTCTAAGTACTTGGGCTTCGCTTATTTATTTTCTATTTCTTGGCTAGTGTTACCTTGCTGTGGCCAGGACTTATTTCTGCTGCCGTCGAGTAGAGTTTCTTTGTGGTTTCCTTGTGGGGTGAACTGTGCTGTGTACAATCAGATGTTTCTTACCAGGATCTGGACTAGTGTAGCCCCACACCCTGCTGCAGGGGGACACTTTGCAGGTCACTTTCACAGGCTCTGGGGGATTCCACGGTTTCTTGGGTCACAAGGAACTATTTCTATCGGGCTCTGAGTGTGTTTAGGTTCGTAAGTGCAGCTTGTGTATTCCCTCAAACACAGTATAGCTTGTTTTTCTAGAAAGAGACTGTATAGGATCTGCAGACAGACCTAGACATTGTGGATACTGCCAAGCCTCGCCGTCCCCACCCAGTGATTGTCTGCAGAGGTTGTGCAGGGCACCTCAGCAGCTGCTCGCTCTCTGTGTGTGTGGTCCATGTGGGTAAGTAGCATTTGTGTTTAAGTCTTAATAAAGCTTTACTAGTCCTGGAGACTCTGTCTGGTTACTGAGACTACCCTTTACTAAGTAGAAGGTACTCGTTTGGGACATCTAAAACCACATGTAGCGTGTGAGTCTCCAGTTACCCTGGGAGACAGGTCATTTGGTGCTGTTTGTAAGGTCGGTAGCAGCTAAGGTCCAGAGGGATCTAATGATTTTCCCAGGTTGTAAAAGGCAAAGCCGTTAAAGCCCCTGGTGCCCGTAGAAGTCCTTTCCTGTGCTCTACACGAGCAGGAGGTGGCGCTGCCAGGTCCCAAGGGTCTCTTGTAGAAGTTTCTGAGGGAGATAGGCAACAGGGTTGTCCTACTTTTCCATTGCTGCGACAAAACACCTCGACCAAGGCAACTCATCAAAGAAGGCATTTAATTGGGCTTACAGTTCCACAGGGTTAGAGTCCATGATGGTGAAGCAAAGGCAAGACGGCAGGAACACCTGAAAGCACACAGTTTGACCCACCGGCAGGAGGCAAAGGGCATTGTGGGAACAGTGTGGGCTTTCGAAACCTCCGGGCCCACCCCCAGCAACACACCTCCTCCAATAAGGCCACACTTTCTAAGCCTTTTCAAGCAGTTCAGCCAATTGGGGACCAAGAATCCAAACTGATGAGCCTATAGGGAGCGAGTCTCATTCCACGCACCAGGTGGAGTCTGGTGCTGCCAATCAATATCAACACGCAGACACTGATACTCCATTTCTAAACTGGTTTTTCTAGACATCTATAGCGGGACTTTCTGGACCTGCCAGAGGTTAAATAATGAAATAGAAACTCACTAATTTTTAGTATAGCTTTGGCCTTTAGCTTGGGCTACCTCACATCTAGCTCATCTAAATCTTATTATCCTAGCCGGCGACCCGCCTTTGGCTATTCTTTATCACTTCCTCATGCAGTGGCGAATCCCCGCCTCTGATTCTTCTCCCAGAGACCTTCTCTTAGCCCATAAGTCCCGCCTTCCCTTTCCTGCCTAGCTATTGGCTGTCAGACCTTTATTAACCCAATGAAAAGGCGAGGAAGGAAGAGTATTTACAAAGTACCGAGGCAGATGATGGAACATAAGAATAACAACATCGAGGCAGATGATGGAACATAAGAATAACAACATCGGCCAGGCGGTGGTGGCACACGCCTTTAATCCCAGCACTTGGGAGGCAGAGGTAGGCGGATTTCTGAGTTCGAGAGTTCGAGGCTAGCCTGGTCTACAGACTGAGTTCCAGGACAGCCAGTGCTACACAGAGGAAACCCTGTCTCGAAAAACCAAACAAAACAAAACAAAAAAAAAAAGAATAGCAACATCGAAGTCGGGCCTGCTCTCAGCTGGTACAGCAATCAACAATTGTATACACAATTGTATATACTTCCACACAGTGCACCCCAACAGACTTTTCTTTAATACCTGGAAGTGTGTTGTGCTTGTTAAGAGTTCAGTTTGGGGGCTGGATGGATGGCTCAGCGGTAAAGAGCCCTGACTATTTTCCCTGTTCTGCCAGAGGATCAGGGTTCAATTCCCAGCACCCACGTGACAGCTCACACCTGTCTGTAACTCCAGTTCCATGGACTTCAACCGCTTCACAGAAAGATGCAGTCAAAACATCAATGAGCATTAAAAAAGTTTGATTTCTGTTTCTCTTAGACATTATATGTGTTTGTTTCTGTTGGGAGGCAGGTTCCGTTTACCACAGGCTGTGTGATGAAGTCAAAGGACTGCCTGTGGAGGTCACCTCTCTGCTTCCTTTATGTGAGTCCTGAGGACTCAAGTTATCAGCTTTGGCTGTAAGTGGCTTTACTCAGGGATCTAGTTTTTTTTTTACCCACTTCTCAGACATTTCTCTAGTTCAGTGCCCCCTCCCCCCATCACCCCCCTCCCGCGCTCCCTTTCCCTAGCAACTTTGCAAATATTAAATGAGAAATTCCAGGAAAGGGTAACCTTTCAGGTTGTATACCATTCTGAGTAGCGTGATGAAGTCTTTCACTGACTTTTGCCACCTCACCCCGGTAGGCCCCGTCTTTCCCAGGACACAGACCACACCTTGCCTCTCGTCTCTACACTCTTCTTGCTGGCCACTAAGGACCAGCCTATCTCTACTCTTATCAACAGCCATAGTATCTGGTCTCCTTGTGCTCAGGTAACTGCTATTTTATTTAGTAGCTCTAACTCACGAGTAAATGCAGGGGGGTCAGTTAGGCCAAATTAAAACCAAGAAGACTGAAAGAAAGTGCTTTCTCTCAATGAGAAATTCAAAGTTCCCAATAAGAACAAAAATCCCATGTGAAGATCTCAGGACAATACTTCTAACTGAAATTGTAAAGCACGAAGTTCTATTGCAATGCTGCAGTGCCCTGGCAGTGAATGACAAAGGCATCGGTGTCGTAGGGGGGAGAAGGGAAGAAAACCTGTGTTCTGCTTGCTTCTGTTCTCACATGCTGTGCTGAGCCTGGATGGAGACTTAGCAGGGATTCTCTGAGACAAGAGACACCTGTTGAGTGTAGCCATTGTAGTTTGCTGTTAAGTCACCACCAATGTCTTACTGTATCTGACTGTAGGATACAACTTAAAGGGAAAACAGCTTTGTGTGGATAGACGCCTTCTATATCTGTCTTCAGACTCCCACTGGGATTTTGGAATGGGCGTCCATCCAGATCAGGGCGGACTCCTGTATCCCTTCCCTTGGTCTAGATTGGTGGTGGTGGGGGCTGGGAGCAGGAAACATCAACTTACATTTTCTCCTATGCCAGTAGGTGGTGACTAGGTGCCATCAAAACCGGTTATGATTGTTAGTGGCTTTAAGAAGGAACTTAAAGGGAAACCCAAGGAAGGTCTTAAACACTAAGGATTATGTGCTTAGCTTTTGTATATGGAGTTGAAAGTCTATAAAACTTTGCCATGAACAGACATGGGCTCTGTGGGGAACAGGACCAAGGCTCTGTTCTCCTCTGGTCTTTCACAACCCAAACCAACCATGCAGTTACCTGGGATCAGAGTTGCTCTTTGGGTCTGTTACCCACTTTTATTAATCAACCAGGAATAATGGGGCAGCATTTACTTTCCCTTTGACTCATCCCCTTCTCCTGGTGAATTCCAGACTTTGCACCCTACATTTCCTAACCAACACTGGGCAGGGATGAGCTCCTCTGACCCTTTAATATGATTCATATGACTATCCAGTTGGACACTTCCCTGCAAGAATGAGCAATTGTCTTCATCTGTGTATGGTTTCCAGGACTCCCCTCAGGAATGTTGGGGCCTTTTGACTTTGTATCCCCGTCCCAGGAGGCTTTTCAGCTTTGGTTTCAGTCTCAATAATCCTAGTGTCTGAAGAAAGTCTTTTCCAGTGGGGGAGGGGCCGAAGCCAGCTTCGACCAGCGGGCCTGGGAGCCTTTCTTACTGCTGTCTCAAGCGGTGTTTTCCGGAAATGAGCTGAGATGCATTTCTGTCTAAAATCTTAGATCAGAGCATGAAGGCAGACTTGTGTGAAGTCAAGGAAGCTGTGACTTAGTCTCTGACTCAAATGGATGGAACTGGTCTGGGTACTTTAGAGATTTCGAGAAATCACCTAACACCTCCCCCTGTCAAGTCCTTGGGCTTTCAGTGAAGGTCTTTTGTGAGTTTAAACTACTTTTCTCCCAAGAACCTCTAACAAGGCAGTACACGATAAACCCTAGAGAGATAAGACTTTCCTTTCTCTTCCCCCCCAAAATTAATTAGCCACACCCAAAAGCAAGCATTACTTTATGAGATAGATTCTTGGAACGAAGACATGGTGAAGAAAGCTGAACAGAGCTTGTGTCCCACATTTGGGAAGATGTGTACAAGGGACCAGAGAGAGAGACAAGCCACAAAGAGAGCATACCACACAGGCCTAAAGTTGGATGCTCCATCCTGTGGCAGAAGGGGAGAAATGGTGTCTGAGCTCTCCTCTGACTTATACACCTGCACTCCATGTGTACACACCTGCAGATACCCACAGCACACACACTAAAGAAAGGAGATGCTGGAGAGGCAGGACCAAAGCAGCATGCTTGTGTGCACTGGCCTGTGAGCTAATAGTTCCTGGGGAGTAGAAAGCCCAAAACTGACTCTCATAGGCATTGTGCCTGTATAACACATTTAGGAATACAAGGCTTAGGCCCAGTCCTTCTTTAACTTTTTAAAACTGATTTGAGATGGTTAGCCTGTGAGTTAAGGGCCTAATGCAAATTCATGGCTCTGAGTTTATTGTTATGGTGTTTTCTACATTTTATTTAGAAATAGCTGAGAAGAGTTAACAGACAACAGTTCAGATTGCCTTACATAGATAGTTGGTTTTCAAAACATCAGAAGTCCACAGAATTGATGTTTCAAACATTTCTGCATTAAAGTTCATTTTGATGAGAGACCTATCTGCTCCTGACAGCTTCTTGTCTTGGATTCTAAGAAGAAATGGAGCATCTTTGGAGTTACTCCAGTTGTGGTGAGAGACAGCCACTAGGCAAGAGCTGCCTCTTTTCATCTACAGACAAATTACTGTTCTGAAAAGGACACACTTGCAGAATAGTCGACTGATTATATCTGCCAAGACAGAGTAATCAGCCCTTAATAATTCTGCATCACTAGGTCTGTCAGATGATCCTGGGCCAGAAGGCGGAAGATCAGATGCTCCAACGTTTTGTAGTATAGGGACTGTCCAGGTGTTCAGTGGTCTCTATAAATTGGCTAAGTTTTAGAAGCCATGCTTTGTGCTTCCCATAATTTCAGTTAATTCAGTCATTCTGCATTTCTGACGGGGTTGAAGACTTATAGTCTCATAGCCAATCCCGGCTATTTATTTTGAGAGAAAAGATTTGAGAGGATGGTTTTCAGCTGACATTCATCCCAAAGCCAAGAAAAAAAGCCAGGTTCAGAACTAAGTCTTTTAGTTAGGGGAGACGACAGAGGTTCTGGTTAGTCAACAAAATGATGGACTGAATATTAGGTCTATCTTGTACCTTACTGATACAAATTGGTATAGTTATGCTCT